CTCCACTATGATCAGAGTAGGGAAAATCAAAAATACCTTTAAAACAAATTGAGGCCCTTTTTTACAAACAAAAACGTTGTCAAGACATTTGTCCCCTCTTGTTGGTTTATCATTTAGATAATAAAAATTGTATTGTTTAAAGAGGTTAAGTAATTCTGTTACAGTTTTAGTTTTATTTTGAATGTTGAATTTGTTATTAAAATCCCCACCCATCACTATATTATAACTAGTCCAATTAGATATGAAATGTAAAAGCTCTTCCATGATTGTTAAAAACTCATCGGAATTTCCATTAGGAGAGTGGTACAAAGATACTATGATTAATTTTAATTCATCAATAAAAACAGCTGATGCTTCAAAAGTCAATTCCTTGCAAAACCTACCAACATCAAAAATTCTGGACTTATACTTATTACTAGTGGCTTTTAGGGGCAATAGCCCCTATATATGTATAAATATTTTGTCTCATGGGTTGAACCTTGAACCATTGGGTTGATCTCCATTTGTCAACTCGATCGTTTAACATTTTTGTATACAATATGTATAATAATTATTACATGCCTGCATAATGCATTTTGTTATCTGCTCTGTTTAAAATAACAGTTCCAAAAGACTGTTCATCCGGTATTATAACAAACTGTCTAATCATTAATACAACTAATGATCATTTTCAATTATAATCTTCATGACTATTAATTAAATATATATATAAATCTCTTTGAATATAGACAAATTCACTTAGATTAAACACATAGAGATAACGTCTTCCTCCAGATTGTAAAATGCTAATTACAATGACAGAAAAATATTGTATTTTGTATTTAGTTTATAACAAAATCTCTCTGAAAACAACATTTTTGTTGTATGGTATCCATTTTAATTGATTCCTTCGTCTTTATTTGATTCTAGTACTATTTTGACATCATCTGGCCGCCTTACCTGGTTAACATAAAGTTGACCATGGGTAAACACTATTTTTTTCTTCAAATAAATGCCAACTTTTGTTCGGGTTCGGCCTCGTCCTTTGCTTTAATAATAAGTAATATTGAAAGCTAATCGCAATGGGAATTGAATACTTGTAAACTTAAACGGCATATCAGGATCTATAGATATTAGTTTTATTTTCGGCATGGAAAAATAAGTCCCCTTTGCCTACTCCAGTAACCACTTATAACTTTACACTTTGTTCAGACATACCTAACACAACAAATCGTACTCCATTAAACAATCCAGACCCTTAAAATTAGGGAAAAGTCTATTTCAAATTTATAATAGTATGCATATTACAGTACATATTACATATCATATGCTTTAAATAAAGTTAAACCACATGTTTTAAAGTAAACAAAGCACATGACCTAGATTCCCATGTTATTTAAATGTGAATTATTTTATTCCGTAACGACAGTTTGGTGCATAATTAAGAAAAATGAATATTTTTCCCCAAAATTTCATGCTGAGACCTTTAAAATGAGACCTCTCCCAGCTTTCTACGTCCTCCCGTTCGCTCACAATTTCATTGTAAAATTTTGGGCTTACGGAATTAGATATATAGATAGATGTACTAATATGGTGGTGCCTCCTCTGATATGTGCAGATCTGCAAAAGGCACTAGCACAGTAAAAATTTTCTGGAAAGCTTTGATCAACCCCATTGTTAGAAAGCCAATGTTCAGATAAACATATAATATTAATCTTAGAATTAATTAAAAAACTATCTAAAGTACACATTTTAGAAAAATTTAAACCCTGAATATTTAGGAACAAAATATCTAACCCATCTTGACAAATATGATTTTGGAAGGTATTTCTGAGTGGTTTTTTGCCACATTTCTCAGAGGTGACAACACCATAATCAACATCATTATTACAGGTTTCTAATACTAGACATGTTTCACTGGCGTTAAGGTTTCCAATAAAAAATTACTATTATCACCTACACTTTGATCACAACCCACTACATCATCGGGAGCCTTTTCAAGCAGTATTGAAGAAGGTAGGTGGAAATTCCTCCATGGAAGACATGTTAAATGACAATGGTAGACATGATTGGTCCTGCAGGTCTGCTGGTCTCAGCGGAGTGGTCGGCTTGGTAACAGGACTTGACAGCTGTAGGTTGGTGTTGGAGTAGTTAGTGGTATCCAGTTTGCTCTCCTCAGGCTGCACAGATCCCTCAGTTGGTGACTGAACCCCTGTAGATGGACTGCATTCCTCAGGTGGTGACAAGGGTTTTACACCATGGTTGCCAATACAGTTTTTTAGTTTTTCCAAAAACTGATAGTGTGGAAGTCCATTCCACAGTTGTCTTCTAGCCGTCGGTTGGTCATATGACACTACACATATTGTAGCGTTGGTGATTTCATACAGCTTTTTAATATTTGTAGAAAAGCGCTCCATACGTATCTTGTCCCGTACACACCCCATAGCAGAACAAACCAACAGTTTAATTTTTTTCTTCTGGAAATCTTCAATAAGCTGGTTAAATGCTTCATCATAATCTTCGTTGGTTTATTACAGTACTCTTGCTTTGTAACCAGACTGTACACAGGTGCACCATCGGGCACAACCTGGCACATAAGCTTAGAGTTTACATAGTTTTGTAATTGAGGCCTACCAAATTTCTTCCGAAACACAACTGCTACACCAGCAGACATATTTTTGTTGTGATCTAAGTCGCTTGAAATGGTGTGAGCAAATGCTGCAGATGGATCATTTTTATATACATCAATGGCATTCCACATGTTGGTTTCAACAACATTTATAACATTCGGCTTAATAGAATTCTTAAGATTATTTACAGGATTGGACTTGAAGTTGCTAGTTTTTAATGACCTATCTTTATTTTTAAGCATCTGCTTATGTGGATGAGGTCCCTTATTAGACTTTTTTCCATTTGAATCAAAACAGGAATTTTTACTAGCAGTATTATTTATAAAGTCAATGATCATAAAAGCCAGTTTTTTTTTACCCTTATAGTTCAAATGCAGGCCATGCCGGGAAAAACAATCTCTCTGAAAATAGTCCAAATCAATAAGCTTAACGTTTTCCATTCGTGCTACAATTTCTCGGATGTAATTGTTTGACAAAGCTATGTCGTAGTGAATGTTGTTGCTGGGCTGCAGATCAAAACGAGGTGGGATTGTTGTAATACAGACTGGCCTTACGGCACTCAGAGCTTTAATTTTACTTTCCATTTCCTTGAAAATTATGTGTGGGTTTTTTTTTATAATATCATTGGTCCCAGCTATCAGTATGAGAGGTTTTAGAGGACATTTTTCTGCTTGGCTGTATACATGTGTTATGTCAGCACCAGACTTAACCATTCCGTTAACCAAGACTTGGTTACCACTGCACAGGCCAACAATCTGTGGAAGTCCTTTTCCTTGGCTATCTGCAAAGAGTTCCACTCGGACTGGGTCTCCATACAAAGTATTTTTAAAGCTCAGACCATTTATCACTCTAGTAGACTCCCTAACCTTTCCAGTAAATGTATTATTCACTTCTTGGACCTGGTGTTCTGTTGTTCCTGAGAAAGTAAGTTGTAGCTGTTGTTTAAGGATATAGGCCTACTATAACTACAATTATTCTTTTTACTAGTCACTTTTCTGGGGATTTGCCATATTTCTTGTGTTTGACAGTATTTATCTTGGTGCAGTATGTGTGAATGATTCTTATTGTTTCCATACTCAGGTAGTTGAAACATCATATCAGAGATAACATCAGATGATAAATGTTGAAAAGTGTGCCACAGAGAGGCCAACTGAGCTCTCTTTGTAACAATGTGAGATTGTTTTATTGTATAAGGAATTGTACTGCCCTGAACTCCCAATCCTTCCAATGTATTATGTTTTATCATCTGAACTATTACGTCAGTGAAGATTGTCAGATAAACACCACAATCAGCACAATTGTGTCACCTACGGTAATAACTACTTACCTATGGGGAAATTTGCTAAAAGGAAATCTGTCCCTGATTTAGGTCTTACCATTAAACCTACGGTAATAGCTTATTTCATGCGTGGGTAATTAAAGCTTAATACATTAATACTTTTAATACTTTTTATTAAAATCTAGCTACAATAAAAATAGGATAAGTAGCTAGGCAACAGGAGCTAGCAGTACATGGGTAACAGACGTACATAAACAGGTGGACGTAAAGTTGAATGGCCTATTGGGTCTGATGATGATGGGGTGTCCAATCGAAATGGATCACCACTACCATCTTTTATGCACCTATATTTACAGTCTTGTAAGTTAACAGAATAAGTGTAAATATATGTTTTAGGCTAAGTGTTATTAAATGTATCTTTTATTTACTTATCGTTAAGTTCAGAAAACCATTGAATATTTTAAGAAATACATTTTTTTAATACAGTTGTAGATTTTAAGATGAGAGTAACTTAAATAAAGTTTAAGAATGAGAATTGTAGATCTCTTTTAACCAAAATAGCCTTTAAATTTATTAGTTAAATAGAAAAATAGGTTATCCACAGCTGCCTAATTCCCTGTATTTTGGTTAATGGAATGTGGTGAGTCGGTGGCTCAGTCAGTATAGCGTCACGGACTTCGGGCCCAAGGCAGCGATGTCGTGTGTTCGGATCCTAAACTGCCGCAGACATTTTATCAGTACAGTTCACCTTTGTACTGTACCGGCTCACCCCTTGCTTTGCTGGATACGTTTCACACGGGCCAATAATAGTCTATGTGGACGGGCAAATGCAAGGCTAAAAGAAGCCGTCAACCTCTATGGAAAAAACGTTACTGTTTCCATTAGTTTGTGTAGTTGTAATGTTTTTAGTTGTAAAGACAGAATAGATTGACATACAAGTGAAACCCACTGTATAGTCCCATACACAGCCCAACAGTAAGCAAACTGTTTGTGTTGAATATTGACACAGTAGTTACAAAGACTTATCTGGACCTTTTATTCCATAAATTTGAAATATTAGAGGAAATTTAGAAGGAAAAGAAATATTGAACTAGCAAAATTATATGTTTTAGTTTGCTGTATTGCTGATGGTGATATTTATTGTTGAGTTGGCTGTGGGAATCGCAGCATCTGTGGCCAAGGATGAGTTTGCTTCTGCAATGCGAGGAACTCTAAACCGTTCCATGGGCAACTACACTCAATCCCGCACTGACCAGTCTGCATGGGACACCATGCAGAGGAAGGTACACATGTCTGATAGTTGCTTTAATTGATTACTTGATTCATTAAACAATTTTATCAATTAACTCAAGGCTGTATTTCCCTAACAGCGGACACTGCGTTTGCCGGGGTCCTCGGCCTAGGAAGGGGCCTCAAATTTCTTTCTTGATAAATTTACTTCACCGAAAATCTGTTTCGTTGCAATCGCATTGATGAAATCTGCGTGACCACAAAAACCTTTACTATTTTGCCGTTAACGTAGGAATTGTAACTATTCATCCGCGATCACGGAATATATCCAGGATTTTATTGTGATCGCGGGAGTCAAAGATCATGTCCCCAAACTCGGAAGATCTTCAGGATTTCGTCATGACCAAAGGAGATAGAAGATTATGTCTCCATGCTCACGCAAGAAGTTAACTTAATTCCTCGGCGGCCACATGAGACGTTCATGGTTCCGCCGTGATTGGAGGAGACAAAGATTATGTCTCCGCGATCGCGCAAGATGTTCACTATTCCTCCGCGGCCACATAAGACGTTCACGATTTCGCCGCAATCGGAGGAGACGAAGATTGAGTCTCAGCACCTGCGCAAGATGCTAACTATTTCTCCGCAGCCATAGCAGAAGAAGCGTTTTTTTCCACGGTTCATGATTTCACTGCGATAGCACATGACGTTTACTATGAACGTAGAAGATGTTCACGATCTCTCCGCGCCCGTCGCAGATGTCCACGATTTTACAGTGACCACAGAAGACCCTTACAATCCGGCTGCGGTTACAGATTTTGTATTAACCAATTTTGGTACATCAATTACTATATTTTAAATCATTCATTCAAAAACCACCCGATTTTGATCTGATGCCCGACGGTCATTATTTTTTAATCAACCCGAAATAAATTAAATATGGCTGTCACCAACCTAAGACCCCTAATCTATATAATTAATACGCTACATGAAACTTTGACGGTTGAACTCCTCCGCCATTTCTTAACCGATTTTATCCATTAACGTCTCATTGGAAAGAGCGTGTCGCGTAGATTTGCAAACTGGCCTTACATTTTTGAAAAAGTCTCTTGGGCTCTGCCCCAGTGGCTGTTAAAGTTCCCATGTTATCCTTATGGAGATCATAATTGTTAACATTTTAATCAGCTGTATATTTGAAATGAAATGAAATGAAATGAAATGAAATGATTTATTGTCGTTAAAACTATGTACAAAGTTCATGACAATCGTCAAAATAAAAACAAAACAATCAAGATGGCTCTGGCAACTAAAATATCTAAAACTCTAAACCAAAGTACTCTTCATGTTTATACAGGCAAGCCTGGGTTAGAGTAGTTTTTATAGCATGTTTGAATTTTAAAACACACAGGTTTTTGATGGATGCAGGCAAGAAATTGTACATTTTAACACCTTGGTACTCAAAACTATTTTGAGTGGCTGTATACTTATGCCTTAGTGTAGACAGATTATCTTTTGATCTAGTACAGTAGTTGTGCACATCAGATATCTTTTCAAAGTGAGAAATGTTTTCTTTTACATATAACAAACTTGCCAAAACATACAAAGATGGAAATGTGAGAATGTTAAGACCCACAAAAAGGGGCTTACAATGTGTTCTTCTATTCACACTACAAATTAACCTCACCGCCTTCTTTTGTAAAGTAAAGAGCAACCTGTTAGCATAAAAACTGTTGGCCCACAGTGAGGTACCATAGGACAAATAGCTATGAATGTGGCCATAATATATACAAATAAGGACATCAACTGAAACAGTGGATCTAAGTGCTCTTATCATAAATATGCCTTTTACAATCTTAGAAGCTACAAAATCTACATGTGAAAACCACTTCAAGTTTGACTGCAAGTGAAAACCCAAAAACTTCAGAGTGTTTACATCATTACCATTACTGCTAAGACTAATAGTTAGGTCTTGAGTCTTATCAGCATTAAGACATAACTTGTTTGCATTACACCAGTCATTAATAACAGCAGATTTTGTATCCAATGTATCTGTAACGTCATTCAAAGAGTTACCCCGTACACACAAGGCCAAGTCATCAGCAAAAAGAAAGCTTTTTACAGATAAGTCATTAATATTACAAGGTAAGTCATTTATATACAGTATAAACAGGGTAGGGCCCAATATAGAGCCTTGGGGCACTCCGTGGGGCACTCGAACAGGGCTAGAATAAGTGCCGTTTAGATAGACTTTTTGCCATCTGTCACTTAGATAAGATTGAAAGAACTTAACCAAAACTGCATCAAGGTTATAGCAAGAAAGCTTATCCACAAGGAGATCATGAGCCACTGTGTCAAAGGCCTTAGACATGTCGTACGATCTAAACACTATGCCACTTTTGGCCTCTAAACTTTGAAAGCAATTTGATATCAGTGCCTGGGTTGCTTGGACAGTGCTGTGTTTGGGCCTAAAGCCAAACTGACTACTTGCTAAAAGGTTACTATCCTCAAGATACTGAGAAAATCTACGATGTACGAGATGTTCCAAGACCTTCGACACTGCAGGGATAATAGATATAGGCCTATAGTTAGCAATAACATTTTTAGGCCCCTTTTTATGGACTGGTATAACCTTAGAAATCTTGAACTTGTTTGGGTAGCAACCTTGAGTTATACAGAGATTAAATAGGTATGTCAAAACTTCACTTATGTAACTAGAAGCTAACTTCAAGATGGGGACATTAATTCCGTAAATATCTAAACAAGAGCTATTGTTAAGACTGTTGATGGCTGCATACACCTCTTCTACAGTAAATAGTTCAAGCCTAAAAGCATTGTTGTCCTCAATAGTCGGAAGAACGTTGCAAGATGTCAAATTACTTAGATATTGCTCAGGACCATTAGAAGAGGCGGGAACATTACTTCTCAGGTTTTCAACACAGTCGACAAAGTAAGAGTTCAGTCCATCGGCAGTTAGGCAGTCAGGAATAGACAAAGGCTTACTGTTACAGTTGCTTAATTCATTAATGATTGACCAGGATGTTTTAGAAATATTACTAGAGTTTTGCAATAAACTGTTGTTATGGTCAAGTTTGGCTTTCTTGATTTCTTTGCGGTACTGCAACTTTAATGAGTTGTACTTAGTTTTAATTTCAGCAGTCCCTGCATTACAAAACAAAAAATATAGCCGGTCCAGCTCATTTTTCATTTTTACAAGTCCTTGATGATACCACCTTTTGTTAGGTTTGTTGTTAGAACCGACAGTTTTCAAAGGAATCGAACTATTTAAGGCCCACAACAGTTTGTCAAAAAACACTTTGAATTTAGCATTTAAGTCTAGGCTATGGTCATACAGTTCAAACCAATTCAACTGGCCAAGGTTAGATAAAAATGTTAAAGAATTCTGAGGATTTAATTTCCTAGTAACTTTTCTCGGTAAAGAAATTGGATTAGATTTAGAATATGACTCAATGTTCATTGACAGAAAGGCCGCATTATGATCTGAGACAGGAGTGTGTATAACTGAGGCTTCCCATCTATCTGGGTGTACTGAGGTCACAATATTGTCCAAGCAGGTACCTTTGTTTACACTTCCAGCTGCAACATTAGGCCTAGTGATTTCATTAATTGCAGTGTGAAGACCAAAACTAGATATTAGGTTTTTAAGTTCCCGGACTTCAATGCTGTCAGACAGGAAGTCTATGTTAAAATCACCTGTGCAAAAGAAGTCAAGTTTCACACCATGCATAGTTGAGAATACATCATGCAGTTTATCCAGAAATAAAGAAACATTACCTGAGGGTGGTCTGTAGAAGTTTACAATCACTGTTTTGTACTTAACGATGTACACCGCTGAGGCTTCAAACGTGAGTTCTTCCACTAATATACTCAAATTTAACTTATCGTAAATTATAAAGTCTAGGTTCTCTTTTACAAGTATAGCAGACCCACCATGTTTAGACATTGATCTAGCAAAAGAGGTTGCAACTAAGTAGCCTCTTAGGCTTAAGCTATTAATATCATTTTGCGAGACCCAGTGTTCAGTCAAACAAATCACATCCACACTACTGTCATACCCAAGCAATCGTAGATAATCTAGTTTGTTGGTAATAGATTGAATATTCCACAGGAGGATGTTTAATTTTTTAGCTGACCTAGATAGTGTTTTATTAGATGACTGGGGCAAGCAAATGTTAGAGGAGTTCCCAATCGCTTTGTTATGCGAAGAGAGTTGTGTGTCAGAGTTATCTGACACTTCAGACTCTACGTTAAATCTACAGAGTCGGGGGGAGTTTCTAAAAAATTTTCCTGGTGCTTAACAGTGCTTGTTGCTTTTTTAGCAAACCTGAAGGCATTTATATATGCCCCAGTAGGCCAGAACTCAGGCAAATATATTTTGTCCCACAAGTGAGCAGGAACCCCTACCTTAAATGTTCGATAGCCTGGGAATCTGTTCCTCATTTGTGTGACTTTATAATCACCACTAATTTCATCACTTATATATTTATTAACTGTGTCACAGTCAACGTCTGTAGCCAGCCTTGAGATAAATAAATACCTGTATTTGTTGACAGTTTTTAGTTTGTTGCTAGTATTGGCAGAACCTGTGATAGAATACATCATGCAGTTTATCCAGAAATAAAGAAACATTACCTGAGGGTGGTCTGTAGAAGTTTAATTAGGTAGAAGTTTAATTAACTATTAGGTTAATTGCTGTTATTTATTTTTCAATTCAATGAAAAGCACTGAGTACATTTATTTACTATTAGAGTTTGTGAAAACATAACCTCCAAGACGGATCGTGATAGGATGGTTGTATCTTAAATTTATGTATTTATCGTTGTTTTGTGTCGCTATGACGGATCGTGTTAGCATGATTGTAACTTAAATTTGTGCATTTATCGTTGTTTTGTGTAGCTATAATTTGTTTATTTGTTGTTTTTTTTTTAACGCCAGAGACTCTATCTGAGTAACTTATTAAATGCTCAACCCTAATGAATATCTGATAAAAATGTTGAATGCTGCTAATGAGATACTAGTTACAACAGTAGTCTATAAG